GGCACAGAAATATTGGTTCCCGCGGATGCGAAGTTTTGTTAAAAAATATTTGGAACACATTTGGAACAACATTACTTGCACGGTAGCAAAACGGGCCGCGGGTCCGAAGCAAGGATTATTGCATTCTGTAGAAAAAAGGCCGATTCCGTTCGACACTGTTCACGGCGATTGTGTAGGACCGTTCGACGAGTCTAAAGACGGTTATAAACACATTCTCATCATTATTGACGCGTTTACAAAGTATGTACAACTAATTCCATTAACGTCTCTAAGTGGGGCAGAAACTTTACGTGTCTTTAAGGAGCGCCTAACGTTGTTCGGTACACCGCGTTTGGTAATTCTTGATCGCAGGACAAATTTTACGTATAAACCGCTAGCTCAGTTCTTACAGAAATAAGGGATTCAACTCCATTTAATTGCCAAAGGCGCTCCTCGAGCTAATGGACAAGCGGAACGATACGTTTCTACGGTTACAAATCTTTTAACGGCGGAACTGAATAAAATAGCAGAATGGCCGAACAAACTATCAAAAATTCAGCTCTCTTTAAACACAACAGTGCAAAAATCGACGGGGTTTTCACCGACCCGGTTATTGTTCGGGGTCGAAAGGTGTGCAGGTCATGCAGTTGTTGCTGATGGGCAATTACCAGATTTGAATGAAAAGATTGATGTGACTCGTGATAGGGAAATTGCGTACAAGCGTTTAACAAAAAATGCGAACTTGCAAAACATTAGATTTAACGAGAAACGGAAAAATAATATAACATATAATTTGGGGGATACCGTATTCATACGACCCGGTGATTCGCGCAGAGCAAAATTGCAGGACAAATTCGTAGGTCCGTATTCCGTCACGAAAATCTTAGCCAACGATAGATATGAGATTGTCGGTAAGAGTGGAAAACCACAAATTGCGCCTAAAGACCGTTTGCGATTGTGGAAGGGTGAATGGTCGGGTGACGGTGAAGAAGATGTTATCGGTGAGTGTCTCGATGAACCGTGTTAGCGATTGGATATAGTACATAGGCAGAATTTGAGCGTTTTGACCAAAGATTTCGATCTTTATCTGTACAATTATTTTATTGTTCATGATTTTAATTGAATATATGTTATTGCATTTTCTATAGAATTTGAGTTGGACTTATTTCTTTTACCTGAGATGTGATTATGAGATATCATCAGCATCCCTGTAGAGCGTGTTCTGTGCGAATGTGTTCGAGAGTGACGACAGTAGGGTGCAGTTGGCTGCACGGAGCTGTGAATGTCACGATCTCGATGTTTATGCTGACTGTAGGCGTTGCCACAGTTGCGTAGTGTTGTATGTGGAATAGACAACATCTCAATATAAAACTCCTCCTCGGGTGACATAAGGTCACGGACTTGGGGTAGTATTTGAATGTTTGAAGGGCATACGCTTGCGCATGTAAAAGTCATGGTGATGCTTTGCATCTGGGCCAGTGTTCGGGAATAACGTATGAAAGGCGACAATGCCGTGTACAGAATAGAGTAACGTTATGAGTTCGAAGAAGACCTCTGTCATGGGTGGTTACGAGGCCACGGACTTGATACAGTGTTCTTCGAAGGACGGCGTTTGAAAAGTACACGAGTTACGCGGAATAGAGGACGTTATGTCTCGATGTAACACTGTGGTTAAAGTGTTTGGTGGTGATTGCAGCAGGGCACGAGTAAGGTGCTGAGCTGTGAAGGTCACGACACCTGGAGACACTTGAGGTTGAAGTGTTTGACGATGACCGTAGCAGGGCACAGGTAACCCCTCAGGGGCTGTGTCCGGTAATCGTCGGCCGCAGTACGGGGCGTAGCGACCCCGAGGTACCTGAAGCTAATCACACCGTAAGCCTCCTGTTGGTCGTCACAACGATCCACTCACAATTCCTTTTTTGGTTTTGTGAATGGTACGTGACGGCAGGAGAAACGGGGGACTTGGCTTAACCGCCTGGGCCAAGAGTATGGCGACTCTATAAAATCGCCCTCCAATCCTAAGCTATGGTGCGCGGCGATGGGATGCATGGTTGGGGGAGAAGGCCCAATCCCAAGCGACCACCTCCGGGGCACCTGCCGAACCCCCGGAGTATTAGGCTTACCCGGGTAAGGCGGCTCTGCCCAGGTGGACCTTTATTTCCGACCTACGCGTGGGAATTACAGTATTGTCTCTCTATAGCCGCACGTTTTCGGATTCTCTATAGACGCGAAGCTATCCCCACTACTTCGTTTGTAATCATCGCGCCGCGACATCGGGTATCGGATATCAAAGAGAAAGCCGAAGAAAAGTGTACGAGCCCCATCCCCCTTGAACGCTCGAGCGTGAAATCAAAGAAAGCCGAATAGACTACTCGTCTCTCAAGTTGCGTGCGCCCGGTCCCGACACGCGCGGCTATAAAGAGACAATACTGTATATGGATTCACAAATTAAAACGGGGATGGGACGGGCTGTTTCGGTTGGGGAGGACGAAGACGGTGCTGGGGCTGGAGTGACGGTGCTCGCGCCTCACTCAGCGCCTGGCCTGGCTTCGTGGAAGGTGGAGGAGGACGACGAGACTGCGTCAGTCTCGTCCTTCTCCTCCACGAGGAGCCACATAGGCTCCAAGAGGAAGCGGACGGGGCAGGCCGTCGACGGAGTGGACCGGGCGATGAACCCGGTCGTGATGGTGAGTTGCCTCAGGGACGAGGTAACCGAGGAGATATCCGAGAGGATCTCCTCGTCCCTGAGGCGGGTCGAGAAGGTTGCCGCAGCCTGCTCTCTAAAGGGGCAGAAAAGCAGCGTGGCTAGAGGCCCTGCGAGAGGCTGCGCAAAATATGGGGGAGGCGGCGCAGGAGTTGTGCGGGCGAAATGCCCGGCTGCAGCTCCTGGTGGAGGAGGAGCGACGGGGGAGGATGAGGGCAGAGGCGCGCTGGAACAGCGCAGCCCTCCCTCCTATCCTCCCTCCTCCTCCACCTCCACCACCACGACCCACGGTCGTGGAAAAAAAGCGGAGTGCGGCGGCGGTGTTGCGGGGACCTTCCATCCGCACTCCGCCCGTGCAGAGTTCCCCATCCTCCTCAGAGGACGAACTTCTGAGGAGGATCGGGAACATGATGGATAGTAAGCTGGCCGCCTTCCGGGAGGAGCTCCTCCACGGAGGTGCGGTCAGCAACAAGAAGGCGGTGCCTCCCCGACCAAAGTCGGTTCAGGCGGGGAAGGCAAAGGTGGGGGGAGGGAAGGCTCCACCCACCGTGGCCGTTCCGGTGCCGCGGGTCGCGGCCCCCAGGGGGGTAGTGTACCCGCGGCCCCGGTGCGCGCGTCCTCTGCGGCACCATCCCAAGGGGGGGTGTCGTGGAGCGAGGTGGTAGGGCGGAAGGCGAAGAGGGCGGCGAGGAAGGCCTCGCAGCCGCGACCTGCTACCTCGCCGCCCGCGGCCAAGGGAAAGGCCGCGAAGGTGCGACCAGGGCGCCCCCCTAAAACGGCAGCAGTGACGCTGACCGTTCCTCAGGGGGGCGACCTGACACTCGCGGGGGCGATGCAGCTCGCCAGGGATAATATATCCCTGGAGGAGCTTGGCATCGCTTCCGTGAGGGCGAAGAGGGCCGTGACCGGGGGTCTCCTGCTGGAGATCCCTGGTCCAGAGGGCGGCGAGAAGGCGGACCGACTCGCCCAGAGGCTCCAGGAGCAGCTGGGCGAGCGGGGTGTCCGAGTCGCCCGGCCCACGAAGCGCACAGAGATGCGCATATGTGGGTTGGACGACTCGGTCACCGCGCAGGAGGTGTCCTGTGCCCTAGCGAGGGCGGGTGATTGCCCCGAGGGAGACGTGCGGGTCGGAGAAATCCGCAGGTCTCCTTCCGGCCTGGGGTCGGTGTGGGCCCGGTGTTCGCGCCCGAATTGTTGTAGGTCGGATTGGAGTGATGCGATGTCGTCGTGTTGGAGAGTTTTCAAATGGTTTATTTTTAATAATAACAAAGTGGACTGTATGAATGTTTTCAAGTGCGTTGAACTGTGGGAGGAACTGTTTCCCCCGCGCTTACTTTAACAAAATGCGTTCAACTCAAGTAAAACTGCTGTACTGTTACAGACTTGTTAGTTAGACTTGTTAGACTTAGTCGGTTAACGACTGAACCGAGAATTGAAACTGGTTTGTCGGTTGACGACTGAAACTAGAATGCAAATGTGTCCGGAGTCCGTTTCCTCCTCAGCTTAGATCCCCTCCAAGAGGTACACTTGGGGGTGTTTTGCAAATTCCTCTGTGGAATCGTGAGTCGATTGATTGGCCATCGACTTGGGAGAGGAGGACCCATTTTCCTGCCCCAGTTTGGCAGCAAGCTCCTCCTTCACCTCGGTGGTGGAGGAAAGTCCCAGGCCACGCTGGCGAGGGTGGCCGAGGTTTCCTCCCCAAGTCGACGGCCGCGTTAATTTATCGAGGAAGAAACGGAACTCCGGATTATCCACGCAACAAGGGGTTGCGTCTGGTCTACGTCTGTTTTTATGGCTATATTGTTCCGCGTGTCGGCGATGGCCGTTGTCGTCGGTGCCTACATTTGGCCTCGACGACCGTACCACCCGCGGAACAATATAGCCCTTCGCTGGTCAACTCGAGTGTCGCGTTTCTTTCGTTTTCCAAAAATGCTATTCTTTTACATTGACATTTGCCAGATGCGAGAGACTCGAAGACGTTTGCAACGTAGTACCGATCCCGCATCTGGCAACATAAAGGACCGGAAACAACTCGAGTTGGCCAGCGGAATGAGCGAGCTTTCGTTTACCGAACATGCCGCCCACCTTGAACGGCTGTCGTTCAAAAGAAATATCAATAAATACCAAAAACATGGAACAAACAACAGTGGTAGTGTACTAGTTTAACACATATCTATATCTAATTCGATTGCAAGGCATCCTAAGCTACTATTTACAAATGGTACAATGGTTGATGATCTTGCAACGTAAATCTAAATATTCTACTACACTTAACATTGAGAAAGTTTATACACATGCAGGCTCGGCTGCCGCGGATTCATTTTTTTTTTGTGTCACGATTAACACTCGATCCAGGCTGATCCTTTGGGGATGAACTTTCATCCTCCGTAGGCAAAATGCAAATTTTTGCCACAGGTCGCTTTATGACTCCATCGGCTGTCCGGATGGAAACGACTCTGGTGATCTGGTCAGTGCCTGGGTGTAGAGCCGTGATTCTTCCTAGTTTCCATCTTAGAGGAGGGAGACTAGCGTCTTTGATGACGACCATCGTGCCCACTCCGAATCCTTCTGGTACAGCGATTTTCCATTTATGTCGCTGTTGCAGCTGATGGAGGTATTCCAACTGCCACCGTTTCCAAAAGTGCTGCGACATTGCTTGGAGTAGCTGAAACCGACTTAAACGAGTAGGTTTGACGTCAGTGACGTCAGGATATGGAAGGTCCATGAGTGGGCTGCCGGTGAGGAAGTGACCAGGAGTGAGGGGATTCAGATCTGTGGGATCGGTTGATACAGGACATAGTGGCCGAGAATTCAAACACGCCTCTATCTGCGCCAGAACAGTGGCCAGTTCTTCAAATGTTAGCCGAGTTTCCCCAACGACTCGAGTCAAAAGCCGTTTCGCGGACTTCACGCAGCTCTCCCACAATCCCCCGAAATGTGGAGAGTATGGTGGGATAAAATGCCACTGCATACCCTCAGTGACCGTAAATTCAGAGAGGGTATCCCTTCGTTTTTGGTCTGCAAAGAACTCTTTGATTCTCTGCATTTCATTGCGTGCTCCTACAAAATTGGTGCCGTTGTCTGAATATATTTCGCGACACCGGCCTCTTCGCGCAACAAACCGTTTCAACGCATTTAAAAAGGCATCCGTCGATAAATCTGAAGCTACTTCTAAATGGACGGCCTTTGTGGCTAAGCAAATAAACACGCAAAGGTAGGCTTTAGTCGTCGTCTTGCTACGGACCCTTTCTTTCAGGTAGAAAGGACCCGCGTAATCGACACCGGTAGAAAAGAACGGCGGTCTTATTCGTATTCTCGGTGCAGGCAACTGCCCCATCAGGTAGCTGGTACCCTTTGGCGCAGCTCTATTACATTTAACGCAGGTTCGGATTATCCCCTTGGTCAGATTGCGTCCCGTCAATGGCCAATACCGCGTTCGAACCATTGATAATACCGTTTCGCAACCGGCATGTAAAACGCGTTCATGTGCACGACGAATAATCATTCGCGTGACATGGTGATTCTTCGGTAGAATCACTTGGTGTTGTTGGTAGTATTTTAGCTCCGCATTGGCAAGCCTACCGCCCACCCTAATGAGCCCCTTGTCGTCAATAAATGGGTTTAATGACCGCAGCGGGCTATTGGATGTCACTGTTTGGTTTTTACGCAAGTCAGACAGTTCTTGCGTAAATGCATTACCTTGTACTAATCGGAGGATGACTACCTCTGCAAGATCAAGATCCTGCACCGTCAATTGAGTGCTCCACGGGCGAGTGGTGCGATTGTTACGAAGACTCACTCTATGTTTTACTGTGTGATAGAATTTTAAGCAGTACGCAATCACACGGAGCAAACGTGTGTAGTTTGAGAATTTTAATAGGAACCCCGGTACTTTGGGATGCGATTTCCCTTATTACAATACAAGAAATGGCCCTTTCTTCAGGAACTTCTGCTGGGATAGACCCAGTGATTGGCCATTCCGTTGATGGCTGTGCGAGCCATGATGGACCGTTCCACCAAAAAGATAGCTTGTCCAAAGCGGAAGGCTTGACTCCCCGCGACAATAAATCAGCTGGGTTGTCCCCAGAAAGTACGTGGTTCCATGGTCCCGTCGAAAGTGTTTGAATTTCAGAAACCCTGTTCGCTACAAAGGTTTTCCATCGGTTCGGGGACCCCTTGATCCACGCTAGTGCTATCATTGAATCGGTCCAATAGAATTCTTGGACCTTTTGACTGCGGGACGCTACTCGAACCTTATTCACAAGTTGCGCTAGTAATAATGCACCACATAATTCCAAGCGAGGAAGGCTTATTGTTTTAAGCGGTGCCACGCGTGTCTTTGCGCAGAGGAGCTGTGTCAATGCTTTGCCCGTTTCTGAAATCGTGCGCAGGTAGATGCACGCCCCAAATGCCCGTTCGGAGGCATCGCAAAACCCATGCATCTCTACCTGCACAGGATTCGGGCACAATACGCACCGAGGAATTGCGAGCCGTGTTAATGACCTGAGGTCCGCATAAAAATCATGGAACTCGGAATGAATCGCTTGTGGTACGGATTCATCCCATGAGAGTTTTAATTGCCATAGCGACTGTATAATTAGTTTTGCCTGGATGATGACAGGCGCCACTAACCCAAGCGGATCAAAAATTTTGGATACTTCGGATAGAATTGTTCTTTTCGTAGTCCGTAAGACTGGTTGAGATTCTACACTGACTCGCAACTCATCGGTGCATGGTTCCCACAGTAGTCCAAGAGTCTTTGGGTCCTTTTCTGCTTGTAAATTCAGATCTCTGGATTCCGTTAGAACCTCTTGAACCACTGCCGGAACATTTGAGGCCCACTTTCTAAGTGGTAGGCCTGAAGATTGCAATATTTTCTCAAGTGATACTTTAATTTTTATTGCTTGTTCTACTGTTTCCGCGCCCGTTAGCAAGTCATCCACGTAGAAGTCGTGGATGATGATATTACTTATTACTGGATCTAGATGAGACTGATCCAATCCAATTTGCCGAAGGACGCAGGTCGCTAAAAACGGCGCGGACGCAGTGCCGTATGTAACCGTATTCAATTCGTACGTTTCTAATGGGAGCGTAGGTTCTTCGCGCCATAGAATCCGTTGAAAAACTCGCTGCTCGGGAGCGACTAAAATCTGCCGATACATCTTGGCGATGTCGGCGCTCAAAATAATCTGATGCTGTCTGAATCTAATGAGTATGGAAAATAGATCGTCCTGAACAACAGGACCGATCTCTTGAGTATCATTTAAAGAATATCCGGAACTGGTTTTCGCGGATCCGTCAAATACAACGCGCATCTTGGTCGTTGTGCTTGCTGCCTTTGTCACCGCATGGTGTGGCAGGTAATAGGCAGGACCGGCCTGCGTTCGAGAGTCCCGACTTACCTGAGTCATATGACCCAGTGCGAGGTATTCGCTCATAAAAGACACGTATTCTGCTTTCAGAACAGGTGTCCTGTTCAATTTTCTTTCCAAGCCGAAGAACCTACGCTCCGCCATGGAATATGAATCGCCGAGCTTTGCCAGGTCCGAGTTAAACGGAATCGTAACAATAAACCGGCCGTCGGAGTCTCGCTTTACCGTCTCATTAAAATGCTCCTCGCACGGGTGAGCTGGAAGGTGACCGAGTGTTGGGATTTGTTCGATATCCCAAAATCGAGTTAATTGTGAATTTAATTGATCATTCGTGACTACATTGCACGACTGCGACTCCGCGTTGAGCGACGCCCGAATTTTCCCACCGAAAACCCATCCGAACTGGGATTTGAGCAATACCGGAAGACCCTGTCCCAGGCGTTTCTGTCCTACGCTCATTATCTCCCACAAATGCCCATTCCCTATTAGCATGTCTACATCACGCGGTTTGTCAAAGGATGGATCTGCTAATCTGACATTTGCAGGGATGTTCAATGCTGATTTGGCGATTTTAAAATTGGGAATATCGGAAGTGATCTTTTGCATCAGTATGCATGACATCGTAGTTGAATATCCGTTTTGCCGCGATTGTATTGTAACGCGAGCCTTACCCTGAGCGCGTTTACCTGCGTCCGCGGCCCCTACCCCCGAGATCGCTAATTGGGTCGGTTTACAACTCAAGCCGACAAATTTCGCAAATGACTCTTTTATGATATTTACTTGCGAGCCTTGGTCGAGTAACGCCCTACATTCAAATTTTTGTCCCTTGTCGTTGAGGACATGTATAATAGCCGTGGATAAAAGAACATGCTCTTTTCCCGACGAGTCATGAGTTGCATAACTCTGAGGGGGCGTATTATTTACTACATTTGCTATACTAACGACGGGATCTGCAACCACGGGATCTACGGTAGGCGTCGAGTCATTTTTTAAATGAATCAACGTATGATGGTTGCCGTTGCATTTGTGGCAATTCCCCTTGTTGCAGGTGTTTGAACCATGACCTGGTCGCAGGCAATTAAAACAAATACGGAATTCTTTGACCTTCATAAACCGAGCGTACGGAGTCAAAGCTTTAAACCGTTTGCATTGTGTGAGAGGATGATCCGACGAACATAATGGGCATTCTAAACTTTGCATGCTAACCAGCGTCATGGGGTGAGGTTGCGGTTTCTGACCTGGGTTCCTATTTTTCGGAGGGAACGGACCCGGAGGTATTACTCGAACTGACTTTATTAGGATTTTGTACTGCTTTTCGAGAAATGTCTGTAAATCTGCCAACGTTTTCTTACGGCCTATTTCCGCGACCCGTTTATCCCACGCTTCGCTCGTTTTCCGGTCGAGTTTGGTCGCTAATAAATGGACCAAGATCGTGTCCCATTTTTCGACGGGTTCCTCCAGCGAGGTTAAGGATTTTAAATTGTTGTTAAAGTCGTCTAAAAGTTGCCTCAGACTCGCCGGTGAGTCCTTTGGCAACGTCGGCAAGTCGAACAATGCACCGACGTGGAAATCGATTAATTCATTTGTGTCTTCGTAACGCTCGCACAAGAGCTTCCACGCGGCCGTGTAGTTTTCATCTGACATCGGTAATGCTTTCAATGCCCGAGCAGCGTCTCCCTTTACTGCTGATCTCAAATAGTGAAACCGTTCGATATTGCTTAACACGGTATTTTGGTTTATCAATGATTCGAAGCTGTCTCGAAAATAGACCCATTCTCCGACCGTCCCGTGAAAACTGGGCAACGGAACTGACGGCAATCTAACCGAGGGTGCCGCTACGGAGGCTGTGGGTGATGCAGCATCTACACGAAACGTCTGTTGCGCGGTAGAGCTCGGATTCGGAACCGGAGCACGCTTAGCCGAAACATGTTCGCGAACCGCGCCTATGATATCGAAATACGCGTTTTCGAACGCCTCGCGAATTTGATTTTGCGTGTGTTCTTCCGGTGTCCCGGCGGTGATCGCATCGATGCGATCCTGAATCGACTCAAATCTATCGAGTAAATGGAGATTTCTGTGCAACCGTTCCTCCAATGCAGCAGCCCCGGTGGTTGCTCGCTGCGTCTCGAAACATGTCTTAAATCGCGTGAGCGACGATTTAACGCGACCGCGTTCCTCGACTAACTTATTCAAAGTATCCTCTCGTGGGGTGGCCATTGTTCAGCGCAAAATGAGAAGTAAATGAAAACTCGACTCACCGGACGTAGACAAGAATCTGCACAGGACTCGCTTAGACGGCCTCTGCAATTCTCCAGGAATCGGTGGTCCTGTTGTCGTGCCCTTGGACTGCTCCTTGGTGAGCTGGACTCGTAGAAGCGTCTGTCACTTCCTGGTCCACTGGATGAAGCGGCTGTCGCTTCCTGGGTAGCTGCACGAAGCGCCTGTCGCCTCCTTGGTAGCTGAATGAAGCGTCTGTCGCCTCGTAGGTTGCTGAATGAAGCGCCTGTCGCCTCGTAGGTATACTGCCACACTGGCAGTTATCCTCTCTCGTTCACGAACGTGATGGGTCACACGATACGGCGACTGTCCCCGTATCACACTCTTTGCAATCGAGTGTACTCTCAATCCACGATCCGGCTCGAAGGACCAATGGTCGCGCCCCAAGTTGTTGTTGGTCGGATTGGAGTGAATGCGATGTCGTCGTGTTGGAGAGTTTTCAAATGGTTTATTTTTAACAATAACAAAGTGGACTGTATGATATGTTTTCAAGCGCGTTGAACTGTGGGAGGAACTGTTTCCCCCGCGCTTACTTTAACAAAATGCGTTCAACTCAAGTAAAACTGCTGTACTGTTACAGACTTGTTAGTTAGACTTGTTAGACTTAGTCGGTTAACGACTGAAACTAGAATGCAAATGTGTCCGGAGTCCGTTTCCTCCTCAGCTTAGATCCCCTCCAAGAGGTACACTTGGGGGTGTTTTGCAAATTCCTCTGTGGAATCGTGAGTCGATTGATTGGCCATCGACTTGGGAGAGGAGGACCCATTTTCCTGCCCCAGTTTGGCAGCAAGCTCCTCCTTCACCTCGGTGGTGGAGGAAAGTCCCAGGCCACGCTGGCGAGGGTGGCCGAGGTTTCCTCCCCAAGTCGACGGCCGCGTTAATTTATCGAGGAAGAAACGGAACTCCGGATTATCCACGCAACAAGGGGTTGCGTCTGGTCTACGTCTGTTTTTATGGCTATATTGTTCCGCGTGTCGGCGATGGCCGTTGTCGTCGGTGCCTACATTTGGCCTCGACGACCGTACCACCCGCGGAACAATATAGCCCTTCGCTGGTCAACTCGAGTGTCGCGTTTCTTTCGTTTTCTAAAAATGCTATTCTTTTACATTGACATTTGCCAGATGCGAGAGACTCGAAGACGTTTGCAACGTAGTACCGATCCCGCATCTGGCAACATAAAGGACCGGAAACAACTCGAGTTGGCCAGCGGAATGAGCGAGCTTTCGTTTACCGAACACCCGGTGTACCCTCTCCGCCGCCCGAAAGGTGGCGGAATCCGGGAGGGTATTGGTGGGGTGGGTTTCGGCGCGAGTGGAGATACTCGCGCCGCGGCCACTCCAGTGTCACCGCTGCCTCGAGCTGGGGCACGTGAGGCAGTGGTGCACCTCGCCGGTGGACCGCAGCGATCAGTGTTACCGCTGCGGGGCGAATGACCACCGCGCGAGCCAGTGTTCGGCGGCCCCCCACTGCCCGCTATGTGCGGACATGGGGAGGCCAGCCGATCACAGGGTGGGGAGCAAAAAGTGCTCTCCCCCCTCCCGGAAGGGGAAGAAGAAGGGGCCCACCCCGGTTCAGGCACCACGGTCGCTGGCAGCGTCCACAATGGAGGTGGACGGTGCCACGGGGACGGACAGCCGGGAGGAGGCTGGGACGGCCGTTAAATAACGGCGCCCCGCCTCCTCCTCCAGGCCAATCTCAACCACTGCCGCGCGGCACAGGACATGATGTCCCAAGTCCTCGCGGAGTGGGGGGTTGGCCTGGCGGTCGCCGCCGAGCCGTACCGCGTGCCGGATCACCCACATTGGGTGGGCGACGCGGACGGTTTGGTGGCGACGGGTCCCCGCCGTTCTCCATTCTGGAGCGCGGTCGGGGTTTCGTCGCCGTGGACTGGGGGGGAGTCGCCGTAGTGGGGTGCTACATCTCGCCCCGCAGCGGTCACGCCGCGTTCGAGCTGTACTTGGCCGAGGTCGCGGCATGCGTGCAGCGCTGCGCGGCCCGGCCGGTGCTAGTCCTGGGGGACTTTAACGCCAAGTCGGTGGCTTGGGGATCCCCTAGGACCACCGTTCGCGGCGGGATCCTGGGCGACTGGGCGGCGGGGCTCGACCTTCGGTTACTGAACCGGGGGTCGGAGCACACGTGCGTGCGGCGATATGGGGGGTCTATCGTGGATGTTGGATTCGCGACCCCCAACGCCGTGCGCATGGTGTCGGGTTGGCAGGTGGCCCCGGAGGCAGAGACACTCTCCGATCACCGGTATATCCGGATGGAGGTCTCTGCCGCCGGGGCTGCGTCCCGGCACCGCCGCCCGGATGGCACCCCACCGCGCCGCTGGGCGCTTCGGCGCCTGGACAAGGACGCCCTGATGGCAGCTGCCCTCGCTGCAACTTGGCCGCAGGTGGCGGCCGAGTTGCCAAGCATGGAGGAGGAGGCTGCCCGGCTCGGGGTACTAGTCGCAAACATTTGCGACGCGTCGATGCCCCGGGTCGGGCGAGCTTCTCCTCGCCGGGCGGTGTACTGGTGGTCGGCCGCGATCGCGGAATTGCGGGTCGCGAGTGTCCGCGCCCGACGCCAGTACGCCCGCGCGCGCCGTCGTCTACGACCGGACGATGGCGTGGCGCGAGCGAGGGCAGATGACCTGTATGAGGCATACCGGATGGCGCGGGTTGCTCTGCAGGTCGCCATCAAACGGGCCAAGACCCGGGCATGGAAGGATCTCCTCCAGACCCTCGATGACGATCCTTGGGGGCGCCCGTACAGGGTGGTGCTGAAGAAGCTCCGCCCGTGGGCGCCCCCCGTCACCGAGGGTCTTGACCCCCGGCTGCTGGAGGACGTGGTCAATACTCTTTTCCCAATTCGGGTGAGGGGACCACGTCCTCCGGTGGAGGCGGCAGTCCCGAGGGAGTGGGCGGCCGAACTGGGGGTCACTCAGGGGGAGCTGACCGCGGCCATCAGACGGCTCGGGGCGCGTAACACGGCCCCGGGTCCGGATGGTGTGCCCGGCCGGGTTTGGGTCTTGACCCAGGGCGTCCTTGGGGCCGACCTCAGGCGGTTGTTCGACCGATGCCTGAGGGACGGGCGATTCCCCCCCAGGTGGAAGGTGACGAGGATGGTCCTCCTCCGGAAGGAGGGTCGGCCCGCGGAGTCTCCCTCCGCATACCGGCCCATCTGTCTCCTCGACGAGGTGGGCAAGCTCTTCGAGCGGGTGATTGCTGCCCGCCTCGTCGAGCACCTGTCGCGGGGTACCCCCGGCCTGGCCGACTGCCAGTACGGCTTCCGGGAGGGTCGATCGACCATCGACGCGATAGGTCGGGTCAGGGCCCTCTCGGGGTCGGCCGTCTCCCGGGGAGGGGTGGCTTTGGCAATATCCTTGGATATTGCCAACGCCTTTAACACCCTGCCCTGGGAGGAGATAAGGAGGGGGCTCGAATATCATCGGGTCCCCCCTTGTCTCGGGGCGGTCATCGGGGATTATCTCCGCGGCAGGTGGATCGAGTATCCGAGCCGGGATGGGCATATGCGGAGGGAGGTGTACTGCGGGGTTCCGCAGGGGTCGGTCCTCGGGCCACTCCTGTGGAACATCGCGTACGACGCAGTGTTGCGGGCCGACCTCCCCGACGGCGTCAGCGCCGTGTGTTATGCAGATGACACACTGGTGCTGGCCGTCGGGGCGCACTGGGGGAGGGCCAAGCGTCTCGCGGAGGAGGGGGCGCAACGCGTCGTCGACCGGATCAGAGGGATGGGGATGACGGTGGCGGTCCATAAGACCGAGGTGATAGCGTTCTCCTATGTGAGTGGCTGGACAGAGGGCATGGAAGCCTCATCTACCGGATGGCACAGGTGTTCTCGGGGCATGGCAGCTTCGGGAGATACCTGTGCCGGATAGGGAAGGAGCCGACGGCGCGTTGCTGCCATTGTGACGCTGAGCAGGACACGGCGGAACATACCCTCGAGGTATGCACTGCGTGGGAGGGGGAGCGCCGTGTCCTGGTCGGCGTCATCGGGCGGGATGTCTCGCTGCCGGGCATGGTGCGCGCCATGCTCGGCAGCGAGGAGAAGTGGAGGGCCGTGGCCTCCTTCTGCGAAAGCGTAATGCTGCAGAAGGAGACCGCGGGAAGGGAGCGCGAGCGTCAGCGGCGTGCTGAGGCTCGCGCTCGTTTGGTGGCGAGAGAGCGTCGCCTGGGCGTCAGGCGACGCGGGCGGCCCCCTCGGCGTGGCGCATGACCCAGGCTGGGAGGGGGGTCCTGATAGCCAGGCAAGTAGAAAGCTTGATAGACACCGGAAGCGCATGTACTATCGTTCATTCGTCGATAACGAAGAAATTCTGCATCAACACGAAAACCGTGGAAGATACAATATTTAAAGGATTCGCCAATCAATCCGTAGTTATTAATAGAATCGCGTCGATTACGATAAAGATTCAGAATGTAACAGCGCGCGTAGATTCCTATATTATTCCGGACGAATATACGGCTCATAACTTAATCCTTGGAAGAGATTCCCTACAGCAAGAGCATGTTATAATGTTGAAACGGGGAAACCAACTCATCTTTAACGATTTGAGAGATTCAAGAGAACCGCGAATAATTTCGGCGATGGACATTTATATCATCGAAGCAAACCCTAAGTTGGATTTGGGAAACATCGGGAAGAAGGAACGAGAATTATGCGTCGCGGTAATTGAAGAATTCCGTGATTGCGTATCGTCGTCAATGCGAGATCTTGGAAGAACAAACACGGCGTCGATAGAAATCCGATTGCTCAGCTATAAACCGATTGCGTATCATCCTTACCGTCTCGCGGAACCGGAGAAAAGGGTCGTTCGCGAAATAATTACGGAATTATTAGACAATAGAATAATTAGAGAATCAGATTCACCGTATGCGAGCCCGATTACGCTCGTGAAGAAGAAAACAGGGGACGTGAGGATGTGCGTAGATTAT